ACGGCGCTGGGGCAGATGAGAACTCTGGGAAGGTGGGAGGCCACGGTATGAGGGGCATGCAGTGGAGACCCATGCCAAGAAGCGCCCTGCTTGCCTCCAGGGTGCCCTGGGTCTCTTGGGTTTCAAGGGTTCTGCGATGGAGAGCGTGACGTGCACACAGCAAAAATCAGTGGACGCCCTGGGGTCTCAGGGTTGGGCTTCTTGTGGAAGGCTTCTTGTGGTCGAGCCCCTACTGCAGGATCGGCTCAGGGGGGGGGGGGGTCGCACCGACCCCTCGTCGCCCACTCATCGCCGACCGGGGCCCGAAAGCCCCTCCCGCCCACCGCGGCCCATTCATCGCCGAACGGGGCAGGTGAAAACTCTGGGAAAGTCGGGTGCCACATTAGGGGTGGTAGGAGCGGCTCGGCTCAGGGGGAGCTTCGAGCTTCCAGGGATCGGAGCTACGAAATTCGATGTATCTTGAAGGTTTTCGTGGGTCCTCGGCGGCTTTCCGGTCCCGGGATGCTACCCAGCAGCTGCGCCCTGCCGAGAGGCATGGGACGTGCTCACATTGCCCCGAAGGGCCGCCAGAGACACGAGTTATGCCCCGCAAACCAACAACGGGGGGGTGATCGGCTTTGGGGGGGGATTGGATCGACCCCCGATCGCTCATTCATCGCCCTTCGGGGCCTGAAAGCCCATCCCGACCAGGAGGGAGCAAATTCGCTATCGAGGTCCTGTAGCCGATTTACCGGCGATGTACCGCACAGTTCACTTCGATATTTATCCCTCTGCGCCAGTTCCCCCCCTATCGTTGCCGCTCATCCCCTCCGTGAGTCCTGAAGAGTTTTGCCCTGATGTCCTCAGAGGAAGGTCCCAAGGCGTCCCGAATCACGGTGGGACGGTTTTTGTGCCTCGCGGGGAGGACGAGTTGACGGGCCCCGTGGATAGGGGCACATGTTCAAACATTCGTATTCGAATCGAACGTCGAAGTTCCCGTGATTTTCTTCTGCGCCGCTGGAGCTTCTGGATGTTCCTCGTCGCCACGGCCGGGTTCGGTCCTTGTCAGTGCTCTTCCTCCTTGTCTTGATCTTAAGGTTGCTATCTAGTTCGCGTCATCTCCTTCCTCATTCCCCGCGTTTCGCTCCCATGAATGAGTTACTGGCGTTCCTGCTTTCCCCTGCTCTTCCTCATCAGAATCGGCCTCCTTCTCCTTCCAGATTTTCTCTTGCGACCTTATGTCCTTCTCCTCCTCGCCTTTGTTATTATGTTCCCTTCATGTCCTTCCCTCCTCATCTTGTCACTTATCCTCCTATGCCCTGCGCTGCTATTTCCCTCCCCATCCCGTTGCTTTTCGTCCTCATCGATCCCTACTCTTCCTGTTCACCCCGTCCCTCTCCTTCCCCGTTCCTTTCCCCCCATGCTCCTCGCCGTTGGCACTGCCCTGGCGGCTCTGCGGGTGCTTTCAGGCTTGTCTCGAGATCCGCAGGGATCTTGACATCGGAGGTTAGGGACTGAGATCGAGTCGAAACGGGGAGAACCCCCCCAGTCTCGTGCTCGTGTCGTGCGCGCGGGCGAGGCGAAGCTGCGCGCGCGGGCGAGAGGAGTGATCCCCCGCCACTGCCAGAGCGAAGTCCGCGCAGAATATTCTCCCGTCCAGTCGGCGGATCGGGCCCGCGGTCGTCCCGTGGTTGTCCCGCGGTTGCTCCGATGGTTGTCCTTATGCATGTCGGCCGGACAGGTGCGCTCGGCGCCCTCTGCGCCTCGAGTTGTTTTGGGCCGGCATGCAGTGCACACAGGCGCGTGTTGTCCCGATGGGTAGGTGGTGATATCGAGCGATGCATATCGAGATCGGTCGATCGATCGTGAGGTCGGTTGAGAGATCCATAGTGCGGTTGTCGATGATATCGGGAGAAAAAAGGATATCTCTCTATATCTACATAGCGAAGCCGAAACAGATATGTATGTGTATATCTATATGTGCACACCTTTCTATGAAAATTAGTCAGCGAGGACCCCAACCAGTGTGCCTCTAGTATTTTCATGGTGAACTCGATGTGGCGCAATCACTGTGGTGCAGTCCATGTGGTGCAATGTATGTCCTACAGTCGATGTGGGGCACTCTATGTGGTGAAATCTTCGCTGTGCAATATATGTCTTGCAACGTAGGTTGTGCAATCTACGGTATGCAACCTATATTGTGCAGTGTATGTGCAATCCATGCGACGCATTCGATGTGCTGAAAGCTATGCGATGCAATCTATGTACATGTTGTGGCTACTTGTATTGTGACACCAAGGCAAGGTGCAGCAGTATATGTTGTGCAACCTATGTGATGGAATCTAGCTTGTGCAGTCGATGTTGTACGATCTAGGTTGTGCAGTAGATGTGGTGCCGTCCAGGAGGCGCAATCTATGTGTTGCAAATGTTGTTGTGCGCAATATAGGTTGCGCAATCTATGTGGAGCAACATATGTCGTGCAACCGAGGTCCTGTAATTCATGTGGTGCAAACATGTTTGCACAACTCGAAAGTCAACCCCACTGCTCGTGCAATCCCAACCACCCACCCGCAACTTGGTTTGCGCAATCCATGCGGCGGCGATTGCGATGCATGCTTGGCGCTGGCTGGCGCATCTCTGTGGCCGCGCTGGCGCGCGCAAGCTCGCGTGCAGAGCGGCCAGCTTGTCTGGCACAGCCGACGCGGCCGCGATGGCGCTGACCCTTGGGGACTTCCCAGCGCGTCTCGCAGGCCGCGCTGTCGCGCGGGCACTTCAGTGCGAGTCGGTGACTCGGGCGCGCGCGGTATCATGGCGACGTGGGTTGGGCGCGGGCCCGACGTGGATCCGACATGGACCCGACGAGCCCTACATGGTTTCGACACGGAGCGCGACGGGACGAGGTCCCCCGACGATGCAAGATACAGTGCCATTTTTAATACATGCTCCGCGTGCGGACCATGCATTAAGATTAAAGGGTGGATTAATACATGCAAGGGTCAGTTTATGCTTTCATTTATTCATAAAGCAATCATGTATTAACACATCCAATATTTTGTTATAAACAATCCCATGTCTTAAAAACTGCCCTGTAAGGTCCACCGCTTTGTGTCGGCTGGCGCCGTCCGCGCCCGTGTCTCCTGCATGCCGCCCGCGCCCCACCCGGCCGCTTCAAAACCATCCAAGCGTGTGCTGCCACGGCGGGCGAGGCCGGCCTCCGAGGCGCCTCCGTGCCCGCGGCAGGTCCAGGAGCGGCAGCCCCCTTTGGTCTTGCGGGCTGTGCCTGGAACCCCTCTCCTGCTCCTCCTCCTCCTCCGTCAACTTCTTCTCCTCCTCTTCCTCCTCCTCCTCCTCCTCCGTCAACTCCTCCTCCTCCTCCTCCTCCTCCTCCTCCTCCTCCTCCTCCTCCTCGTCCTCCTCTTCCTCCTCATCCTCCACCTCCCTGCCACTCCGTGGTAGTGGTATACCTGCGGAGTCGACGCCTCGCGGTCTGGGCTCCAGGGCGCGGCCCCGCGGACACCGCGGTCGCACGGACACGCTCCGCGCGGGGCGCCCGCGAACAAGACTGAGAGCATGCATCCGCGGGGCCGCGGCCCGCGGGGCCCAGCCCCGCGGGGCCGCGGGCACGCGTCTGCTTTTGTCGCCCACGAGGTGGTTCTCTCGCCGCAGGGGCGCCCAGTCAACCGCGGCGCGCACCTCCGTCCCGAGCGCTGGAGGCGCGCCCTCTCCGGGGCACGGCGCGAGAGCGCCCGCGTGCCTGCGCGGCGCGGGGCGCTCTCCTGCCTAAGGCGCCCGGGTCCAGGCCTCCCGGGTGGGGTCCGCGCAGAGCGGGGTCGGAGGGTCGCGCCCCCGTCGCCGATGCAGCGGCGGTGCGGCTCGATGCGGAGCCCGACCTTCTCTATACCGCCGAGGCATCGACGATGCGGCGCGATCCTCCGACCCCGTCCAGTCGGACCCCATCTTTACAGTAAGCCGGCGTGTCCCTCTACAGGAGGAGTGTTCAAGAGTAGCTAAAAATAATCTGGGGGCGGTTTTTGATTCTGAATCGCTTCGCGCACTCCGCCGGGGCCCATGTTGCGCACCGCGGTGGACTGGCCGAGTGGTCGTCGGCAGTGCGCCTCTTGCGGGCTTCTTGAGGGCCTCGTATGGGGTCTCTTGGGGCCTCTCGGGGGCATCGTGTGGGGGCCTCTTAGGGCCTCTCGGGGGGCCTCTTGGAGGCTTCTTGGGGGCTTCTTGGGGGCCTCCATGGGACCTCTCTGCGCGCAGAGCTCGACATGTCCGTTCGGGTCCCCGGTCTCGGCCCGCTCTTGGAGCCGTCTTGGGAGTCTCTTCGGCCATCTTGGAGGCCTCTTTTTGAACAACAAAGCCTAAGTCACTCGTGAGGTGCCAAGGCTCCTCGTGACGGCTCCTCATCTTGGAGGCCTCTGCGGCTGTCTTGGGGCCCTCTGAGGCCGTTTTGGGCGCTCTTGGGGGCCTCTGGGGCTGTGCTGGGGCGGTCCTGGAAGCCTCTTGGGCCGTCTTGGAGTCTTGAAGCGCTGGTAAGCCCTCACGGCGAGAACGCCAAACACCTTCAAGCACTGCAGCAACATCGCTAATGTCTGCCTCTGTGGGCCCTCTTGGCAGGTCTCTTGGAGGCTTCTGGGGGCGTCTTGCAGGCGCTTTGGGTTGTCTGGAGGCCATCTTTGGCGTCTCGGATCGCTCTTGGGCCGTCTCGGGCCATGTTGAGCTCTCTTGGAGGCCAATTGAAGCGCTCCTGGAACGCTCTTGGGAGTCTGCCGGGACCTGGCTGGCACCTGTCCGGGACTTGCCCGGGACCTTGCCGGGACTTGCCAGGACCTTTAACGGGACCTTGCTGGGACTTGCCAGGACCCTGCCGGGGTACTTTTCGTCCAGGAAGCCCCGGGGGCGGCCCCGCGCGCGCGAACTTATTAACTTGGCCTGTTGGGCCGGCGATTTACTATTTTGGAGGATTTCTGTTGGGTATTGTGGATTCCTCGTCCAGAACCTGCTTGTAGGGGGACATGCCCGACCTAACCCTACCTGGCAGGCCTCCGTCAACTGAAGAAAACCACCCGGACCCGATAATCGGCGCTTGCTAAACGGCCCTGGGCGTATGCTAAGCAGCCCTGCCCTGTTCGATTCCTTCTTTGGGCGCGTTTACTAAACGACTTCGCGTGTCGGGGTGGTTCTTCTGGGGGGGGATTTTTTGACCCCTACTCCGTCTGGGCAGCTCCTGCCGAAGCCGTCCCGATCAGCTGGCCGCCCACCGGGGGCGCCCTGGCGCCTCTCGCCCTCCCCTCGGAGAGGGCTCTCCCGCCGTACCCGCGGCGCGCCCGCCTCTCTCTGCCCCTCCTCTCCCCCCTGTAGATGCCATGCCGTGCTGCCAGGAAAACAGTCGGTCTGGCAGCCCGACCGTCACCGCAGCCCGACGGGGCTGTGGGAGAGACTCTTGCCTTGTGGTTTGCCAACTACGGTAGGTGCGGGCCCGCCGTGCCACCCCTGAGAGGCCCAATGAGGTTACTCGAAGGGGTCCCCCGACGGGGGGGGCGCGGGAGCTTAAGTCCTCCAGTGGGGTCTCCGCTGTTTGAGGCCGGCGGTCAAGTGGGGGTGGGGCCCGCGGCCGTGTCTCGGGGTGGCATCTCGAGGCGCCTCGCATCGGCGGCGCAGATGTGACGCTTGGGGCGTGTCTGTGCTGCTATTCATGTTGCGAGGTCCGATTGTATGTGAATTCATGCAGGCATCGTGGGCACCACCCTTCGTGTTGTGTCGCACAATTATGCCATGCTACGACATCCGATTGTGCGAATAGAGAGGAGATCTACGCCATGGTAGGGGATGAAGGGGGAGGGGTAGGACGTTCAGATATGCACCCAGCTTGCCCCCATCCTCTCCCCCGTCCCTTCTCCGCTCCTGGGTCCTCCTCCTCTTCCTCCTCTTCCTCTCCTGCCTCCTGCCTCCTGCCTCCTGCTCCTCCTTCCTTCCCCTATCCTTAAGTCGGGCCTGTCCCTCAGGAGGAATAGCAACACATAGTTTACAAAAAGTAGTCTGGGGGCGATTTCCTGATTATTCCTTCAACTATTTTCCAATATGTTGGGCATGTTCCCTTTTTTAGCCCAAGCTCCGCCTGTAGGAGGGCATACCCGACCTTGCACTCTCCTCTCCCCGCTCTCCTCCCCGCACCCCCTCCCAGCCAGCCCGACCTCCAGCAAAGGCCTAGCCGCAGAGCACCAGCGCCCGACACCGGCCCAGCATTCCGACGCACAGCTTCTGGTCTGCAGCCGGGAAGATCTTCGCGTGAAGCGGAGCTCTGCAGGCCTTAAGGGGCCTGCGGTCTCACGCGCCTTACCCAAGCGGGCGCAGGTTCGCGCGCCGCACGGAGCGGTCACGTGTGGCTGCTCCTGCTTCCGAGCGCGCCTGGCGCCCACTTGGAGCGCGGCGCCCGCCGGCTAGTGCCGTATCCTCTGCCTTCCGCCTTCCTCCTCTTTCATCCTTCCTCCTTCCGCCTTCCTCCTCCCGCCTCCCGCCTTCCTCCTCCCGCCCTCCTCCTTCCGCCTCCCTCCTCCCGACTTCCTCCTCCCGCCTTCCTCCTTCCTCCCTCCCCTTTCCTCCCCGCCGTCGCGTGTTCGTCTCGGCGGACGCGCGCGCTGCCTCGAGCCCTCGAGCCCTCCTCCCTCCTCCTGCTCCCTCACCCTGCCCTTGCCTCCCTGCCCCCGCCCCCGCGCCCCCCAGGGCATGCGCTTCCTCACCGTCAGGCCGCCCGCGGGCGGGAGAGCGCGGCCCCCTGCTCCCGCGCCACAGCCTCGCCCTCCTTTCACACGCCGGGTCGCACCGACCCCCCTGCCTCGGACGCTGCGCGATACAGTGGGGGCCCATGCCAAGAAGCACCCTGCTCGCCTCCAGGGTGCCCTGGGTTTCTTGTGTTTCGGTGGTCTTGCGATGGACGGCGCGTCGTGCCCTCACCCGTAACCCATGGACGTCCTGGGGTCGCAGGGTTGGGTCTCTTGTGGAAGGTTTTCTTGTGGACTGGCCCCTATACTATACAGTCGGCCCGGATTAGTAGGTCGACCCTGCCAGCTCAAGGGTACCCTTGTGTCCCTGTGCCTCGCGACACGTGCCTTCTTACGCTCCTATGGCGACGTGGCCCTCGGAAGGATCTTGTGTCCTCTCGCGTGTCCCGTCCAATCGAGGCCGACCGTGCGCCGAGTCGCACCGCTCTCCCTGGCCTCGGACGCTGCGCGATGGCGGCGGCCCGGGGCCCCTGGTGGCCCCAGCGGCTCCAGGCAGGCCCAGGTGGCCTCCGGCAGGAGAGGCCGCGCGCGGGCTCCCACCCCGCACCACCCCCACGACTTCTAAGAGGGGGAGGCGAGGGCTCACCCTTCGTTCGGGGGGGGGTCCCCGAGCGAAGCGAGCCCCACCTCCCCCCTTGCAGATCGTGGGGTGGCGGGGCAGGGCTCGCACGCGGCCTCCTATCCAGAGCACCCCTCGCGATGCCCAGGGGGCCCCAGGGGGGGGGCGCTGGAGTGCCGCGGGGAGTCGGGGGCACGCTGGGTCCCTGGAGAAAGTCCGGGCGGCCCCCAGACATCCTCGTCCTGCTCCCTCGGCGTTGCCCCGCCCCGCCCGCGCCCGCCGGCCTGAGTCGGTGAGGCTGAACGAGCGCTCTGGAGTCCCCTTTCCCCCACGGGTTGGTGGCGTGCAGAGGGGGTAGGGAGAGGGGGGAAGGCTTCTTAGAAGGAGGCTGCTTCTTAGAATGGCGCCGGCCCTACATCTGTAGACGAGGCCCGCGCCCTCTAAGGAGCAGCCTCCCTCCAAGAAGCCTTCCCCCCTCCCCCTGCCTGCCCCCCTGTGCGCGCCGCCAGATGGGAGTCACAGGATCATGATTCGTTCTATTCAGGAGGGGACAAAGACACACAGACAAAATTAATCGTCGACTCCCAGCAAAATATAGGAAAATATGGGAAGTGTGTGGGGGGGGAGACAAAAACCCAGAACATATGAGAAACGATGGGGAATCTTTTTATTCGTGTGTCTTTATATTTGTGTCCTGGGGCCCCTTCATCTATGTCCGTGCGGATTTCTTGGATGGGCGCTGCAGCGCCGGAGGCGCCGCCGGGAGGGGGGGGCGCCCCGGTGCCGACCGCGGAGAGACCTGCGCGGGCACCGAGAAGTCCGCGAGCTTTCTTTTTGCTGTGCTCCCCGGGGGGAGCCCGGGCGGAGCCCACGTTTTGCTAAAACGGGGGTCTGTCCATTTCCCGATTTAGGCGATCGCAGACATGGATCAAGGGTGCGTGGATTAGCGACGGGTCCCGTTTCCACGGGAAACCGCGGATTCCCGCCGCCGGACGAGGCGGCACTGGCCGCATCTCGGGGGGGGGCACCTCCCCCGATGCATGGATCTGGCGACCGCGCACCAGATCCATGGAGCGCTGATCCATGTTCGCGCGGCCCAAAAAGCATTCCGAGCACCAAGAGTGTACCGAGACACTGCAGGGTTGTCGCGTGTCGGGCCCTGGGAGGCGATGTGCTCGGGCGGCACTCCGCGAGCGCGTCGGGCAGGCACACGCTCGGCAGTTATCTCGGGGTGCTCGGCAGTGGGAGCGGCACAAGCCAGCCCACCAGCATCACTGACATGGCTGGTCGAGCAACGGTAGGGTTAGGTAGGGCGCGCCCCTCCCTCTACAGGAGGAATATACAATAATAGTCAAGAAATAGCCTGGGGACGATGTTGGGAGTACGTTTGAGCTTTTGTTGATTATTACTCTGGCTATTTTCAGTGTTTCGCCGATGTTGGGAGTACGTCTGAGCATCTGTTGACTATTGCTCTGGCTATTTTCAGTGCTTCGCCCTAAAATCCGCCTGTAGGAGGGCATGCCCGACCCAACAGCAGGCGGGCCTCGCCCCCCTCCTCGAGGGATCGCCTGGGTGCCTCCCCGCCCTCGGCGCACACAGCCGGGGCGGGGTCGCCTGATCCGCCGGCGGGGGCCACGGCATCAGGGCTTGCATACGCGCTTCCGTCCACCCTCCGCCTCCTCCTCCTCCTCCGCCTCCTCCTCCTCCTCCTCCTCCTCCTCCTCCTCCTCCTCTTCCTCCTCCTCCTCCTCCTCCTCTCCCTCCTCCTCCTCCCTCCTTCCTCCTCCTCCTCTCCTCCCTCCTCCTCCTCCTCCCCTCCTTCGCCGCCTCCTCCTCCTTCTTCTTCCTTCTCTTTCTCTTCTCTTCTCCTCCCCCTCCTCCCCTTCTCCGCCTTCCTCCTCCTCCCTCACCTCCCTCCTCCTCCTCCTCCTTCGCCTCCTCCCCCCCCCCTCCCCTCTCCTCTCCTCCTGCCCTCCTCCTCCTCCCCTCCTCCGCCTCCTCCTCCTCTTCCTCCTCCTCCTCCTCCTTCCCCCTCCTCCTCCTCCTCCTCCCTCCTCCTCCTCCTCCTCCTCCTCCTCACCCCTCCTTTCGCCTGCTCCTTCTTCGTTCTTCTTCTTCTCCTTCTTCCTCCTCCCGCCTCCCGCCTCCTCCTCCCTTTCCTCCTCCTCCTCCTCCGCTCCTCCTCCTCCTCTCCTCCTCCTCCTACTTCCTCCTCCCCTCCTCCTCCTCCTCCTCCTCCTCTTCCTCCTCCTCCTCCTCCTCCTCCTCTCCTCACTCTCCTCCTCCTCCTCCGTCCCTCCTCCCTTCATCCCCCTGCTTTCGCCTTGGCCTCGCTCCTCCTCCTTCTTCTTCTTCTTCTTTCTCCTTCCTCCTCCTCCTCCGCCTCCTCCTCCTCTCCCTTCCCTCCTCCTCCTCCTCCGCCTCCTCCTCCTCCTCCATCTCCTCTCTCCCCCTCCTCCCCTCCTTCGCCTCCTCCTCCTCCTCCTTCTTCTTCTTCTTCTTCTCCTCCTCCTCCTCCCAGCCCTCCTCCTCCTCCTCCTCCTTCCTCCTCCTCCTCCTCCTCCTCCTCCTCCTCCTCTTCTTCCTCCCCCACGGCTGCAGGTACCAGTACACAATGCTCTACATGGTCGGGTTCATGGCATGAGCCCAGCACGTCGCAGGAGCCAGAACCTTTCAGAGGGTCTCCTCCTGACGCAGTCAGTACATCATTCTCTACATGGTCAAGTTCACCGAAGGCGAGCCCTCCACGTCGTCGAGGCAAGGGCGGCACGCGCAACGTGGGGCTCGAGTTCATAGGCTTCAACTGTTCATCTTGGGCGCAGGCTATTGATGTCTTGGATGAGGCCGCTACAAGGAAGATCGTGGGCCCCATGCATATCACGTTCCTTCAGGAGCATAGGCTGACCGCGCCCATTGCCAAGGACATCGAGGCGGCCAGCTTCAACAGGCACTACACGGCAGCACTGGTTCCAGCTGTCAGCGGCCCAGGCGGACGGCCGACTAGTGGAGTTGGGTTCCTCGTGCCAAGGAATGTTGGCCTTACACATCTTGAAGGCATGAATACGTTTGATATCTCACCTCCTGGGTCGCCTGGCCGCGTGGCAGTGGGCTGGTGCTCTGCTGGACAGAAGGGTGGCCTCATGATTATCACGGCATACTTTTGGACACGGGAAGGTTGGACGATTCGAAATTTGTCAATTCTGGAGTCCATTGCAACGGTCATCAAGCAGTATGACATACCGTGGGTATTCCAAACAGACTTCAACGAGACGGGGGAGTCTTTACTCAAGACGGGTTGGTGCCAAGATGTGGGTGGAGTTGTGCGACTCCCTTCCACTACCACGTGTGCAGGAGTCGGCGGTGGCAGTATCATCGATTTCTTTGTGCTCGACGCCCGCATCCAGCATGCTTTCGGAGACACGGTAGAAGTATTAGACACCGCAGCCGCACCTCACTCGCCCGTTCGCCTAGTCATGCAGTCCAGGATGCGAGCAAAAGGCGGCTGGAGGCTTGCCAAGCCCAGACCTTTCCCAATGGAGAGGCCGTGCGGACCAGTCCCGCAGCCTGCACAGTGGCCAGATTTCGATCATCAGGACGATTTAAATGGCACCCAGCTTGACCAGCTTTGGAAGCAGATTTCACACTGTGCTGAAACAGAGCTGGTGAATCTCCTGGGCGTGGAAGAACCCCAATCCTACCTCGGTCGGGGCGATCCTCCTCGGTGGACCTGGGCCCCCCTCGCTGGTCCTCAATCGCACGCACGCCCCAGGGGAACGCCTAGCTCCCGAGCTTGGCGGTGGGTCGCCGCACGAGCCAGTGATTTTATTTTCCTCGCACAAGCTGCCCAGCAGGAAGGTACCTGGATGCATGCACGCGCGCGACGAGCAAAGCTCGAGCGCCGCATCGAAGGAGGAAGGAGTCGGTTGGTTCACGACTTGGGGGAGGAGGCTGAGCACGTAATCGCCCAGTTTGAACGATACCGCGCCTTTTGCCTCGAGGGCCCAGCGCTCATGGAGCAGGCCCCCGAGATCATGGGTCTCCAGCGACGAGCTGTAGCCAACGCTCAGACCATCGAGCGGCAGCAGGCAGCCACACGGTCAAAAGAATGGCGAGAACGTTTGAAGACGGAATCGGCAGCAGGCTCTTCTTTCATCCACAGGATCAGCAAGTGGCGTACCCCTCCTCCCCCCGTCACGGGTTACTCCGTCTCCAACCTCGAGCTTGCTGATCCTCAGGAAGCGGCCGACAGGGCTGCGCAAGAGTGGTTTGACGTTTGGGGCTCCCATGGACAGGAAAGCACGGGCCCCTCAGACCGACCCTGGGAGGCCGCTCGCTTCGCCCATCCGTTGGTTCACCTGGACCGCCAGCTGTTTACCAAACTATGTTTGAGTTTTCCTGCCAGGACGGGAATAGGCTCCGACCACTGGCACCCACGCTGGTGGGCTTGGATTTCGGACGAAGGCAAAGACTGCCTCATTCAGCTAGTGATGTTTATCTCTCGCACGGCACAGTTCCCATCGCAGGTAAGGTACATCATATACTTCCTACTTTCGAAGGAGTCGGGAGGCACACGGCCGATTGGGCTCCTCCCCTCCCTCATGCGTGTAGTAGAACGAGCTCACTCTGGCCTCTTTCACGACTGGGAGCGCTCTGCCAAGCGCAAATATGACTTCGGGGGCCCTTGAGGGGGCTCCGAAGAGGCAGCATGGCACCAGATGGTGCACGATGAGGGGGCGCGTGAGGGGGAGGTGTCGGTGACGGGGGTGCTGGATCTGTCGCGTGCTTTTGAACATGTAACCATGAATGCTCTGTGGGTCGTAGCCCCTCTTTGCGGCTTCCCACAGCAGCTAGCCAAACTTCTCATCGGCATCTACACGTCCACCAGGCTGGTTGCCTTTCGAGGGGTCCTAGCCAAGAAGTCGATTCAAACTTTTTCGGCCGTTGTGGCTGGCTCGATCGGTGGCACCAGGGCGCTCAAGATGGTGGTGCTGCAGGTCACAGATGCAATGCATCAAGCCTGGGGGGCTCGCCTCCAGATGAAATTATTCGTCGACGATCTCAGCATTCAGGTCCGAGGAGCGTTGCGATGTCTCAATGTTCTGCAGGCTGCTGTCACGTTCTATATCCGTGAGATTGAAGGTACCTGGCGCACCCCTGTCTCCCGTGGTGCCCGCGGCAAAGGGTACATCCTCGTCGCCTCGGCCTCGGCTCGGAATCGCTGCGCTGCTTGGGCCAAAGACCTGGGTCTTGCCATCACCGACACCAGCTCACAGCTGGGAGTGGACAGCGCTGGAGGCGCCGTAGTTCGCAAAAGAAAGAAAATGCAGAAGCGATTTAAATACGCATGCCAGCGCAAGTCAAAATTAAAAGCCCTCTCAAAGCAAGGGGCCCGCCTCGCCAGGGTTGTCCGCCAAGGGGTGATCCCGTCCGTGACCTGCGGGTCGAGCTGTTTAGGAGTCTCGCCTGTTTCTCTGAACAGAATGCGTGTCATGGTTTCGGGCAGCCTGGGCGGTAGTGCGATTGGTCGAGACAGAGTCCTCCGACTCTGGACGTATCAAGTTGATCCTGTGGTCGAGGGATCGCAGAGGCCGCTATGCATGTGGGCCACGCAGGCCTGGGATGGAGTGCATCAGGTAGACATGGCCAGGGCCTGGCGCAGGGAAATGTCACGCGAAGCGGCCAGACGGAGTCGGACGCTAGATCGCCCCTGGAGCCAAGTTCGAGGGCCAGCTTCTGCTTGTAATCTTACGCTGCAGAGGCTGGGCTGGTCCTGGCCTAGCTGGCACACCATCCGCATTCACACTGGTGAAATGTTTGACATGCGCCGATCGGCGCCCAGCACGCTGCGCAAGTATATTTACCTTCGTTTAGAGGATCAAGAGCTCACCGACTGGGCAACGCATCGGGGCATGCCCTTTCGGAAGCCCTTCCTCGAGCCTTGTCGCGCAGCAGTCAGGACAAAAAAGAAAAAGGGCCAGAAGCAGTCGGCTATGCTAGCTTTCCTGTGCAGCGATTTTTGGACGCAAGATAAAGTGTGGAGAGCAGGCCACTCGGAAGATCGAAGTTGTCAAAAGTGCGGGCACGCCATCGGAAATCAGCACCATAGATTTTGTAGGTGCCCAGCTTTTCAGGAGCAGCGCCAGGCTGCAGGTGAATCTTATCCTGATATAATCCACCGTGCCTCCTCCTCGTGCTCCTCCTCCCGTCTCTTCTCCAGGGCTCTCGCGCCTCACCCACTGGGGGACCCCTTCCAGGACGTCACGCCCAGCATTGAGACCCTGGACCCCGAGTACGGGGGCGATCCCCTTCTCTCGGGCCTGGCCTATTCGGATGGGTCGGGGGTCGGGGTCTCTGGGTTGAAAACGTTCGGTTGGGGCCTCTGCTTTGTTGACCAGCACGGTAATGTACGCAAAGCGATGCACGGCACGGTTCCAGGAGTAAGGCAGGCACAAAGTGTGCTTAGGGCTGGATTGTATGGTTTCTTGAATGTTCTTCGCCACGGCACAGCCCCTCTGCAGGTAGGGATCGATAATTCCACAGTCGTTCGGGGCTTCAGGCGAGGCCCAGTTTGGTGCCGCCAAGCCAGGCGACCGCATGCCGATTTATGGCACATGATTTGGAATGCGATTGAGGATTCGTTCTCGGGGGAGGGGGACCCCGTCGTCGTCAAGGTCAAAGCGCATTCCAAAAAGGCTCAGGCCCAGCAGCTCGAGGGACTCGAGCTGTGCAACTACCTAGGGAATCAATGCGCCGACCTTCAAGCGAAGGAGGGAGCCAAGCTAGACGCCATCCCGCCTCACACTCGTGACACGTGGGTGTCTAGGTTCAAGGGGGTTTGTGCTGTTCTCGGGCTCGTCGGTGACATGACTTGTAAGATAGGCACGTTTGACGACACCACAGGCCGTCTCCAGAATGCCCCCCAGCCCCCTGGCCCTCGGCCGCGCCGTTCGGTGCTGCCTCCTCCAGAGTCTCGGCACGTCCTGGAGTGGGATAGGGGGTCTTGGAGGTGTGCTTGTTGTGCTAGACGGGCCCACAGCTATAAGGCCAAGCTGGTGTTGTCTCGTAAGTTTTGCAGGAAGGGTTTCTCCTCCCACGGTAAGTGGAAGAAGATAGCGCGTGTCGACGGGGCTCCTTTGCAGGGGCCAAGGCGACACAAGCTGTCTCGAATAGGCCACTATACCTTCTGTCGAGAGTGCGGCGCCTTTTTGAGCGCCAGGGCTTGTGGGTTACTTGCTGGATGTCCTAAGGACCCGAAGGACCACAACGCCAAGACTCGACGAAATCGTTTGCTGGCAGGTAAGCATCCGTATAAGAATGAGAGACTGCCTGGAGAGGTGGTCGCGCTGTCAAGAACCAAGGAATTGGATTTTCTGGAGTCGATTGGGATTGCTGCCAGGGCCTCTGCCGCTGGAAGCGGCGTGGAGGCACTTTCTTCCTCCGCCGCCTCAGGCGGTGCGGAGGTCTAACCAGGTCTGTCGCAGGTGGACGCGAGGTGCTCGCCCACGCTGTGCTCGCGGGAAAACCTCCTCCTCCTCCTCCTCCTCCTCCTCCTCCTCCTCCTCCTCCTCCTCCCTCCTCCCTCCTCCCTCGTCCTCGTCCTCGTCCTCGTCCTCGTCCTCCTCCTCCTCCTCCTCCTCCTCCTCCTCCTCCTCCTCCTCCTCCTCGTCCTCCTCCTCC